GATAGGTCAGCAACGAAACCGAGCAGATGCCGCTTGTCCAGAGATTGAAATATCGTGGTAGCATAGCTCAATAGATTACCTTGGAGTAAAATTTGCCCCAACATGCCCCAACGAAGACCTGGGAAATATTAACTCTCCGGAAAAGTAGAAAGGTTGAAAGCCAAACTTAAGCCATGGTTCGGGCGTGGCTTAACTGCGTGCGGAAAGGTACATGTGATAATGTCAGAAGCTCTCTCGTACTTACATATCTAATGACTATCTTACACAAGTGAATCATGCGTCCTTAAGGAGGATAGAAACAATAATATAGGAGTTCATTTGGAAATTATCTCGAGATAGCATTCAAACGTCGGTGATGAAAAACCTTCTTTTCATGGGAGTACTGAGGGTGCCCGATCCATCAGTACAGGCACACAGTCTTACAATGACTTGGATAAAGAAGTTGCTTAATCCAGAGTACAACGCCAAATGGAAGAAAATACTGCAACACAAACTAAACATAAGTGCCGTAGTATCATTATTGCACTGCAATGCCGAGCCGAATAAAATATTGGATCTTCTAGATGGAGGTAAGTTTTGGTCAGAAGCATTAAATGCTTGAATGAAGATCGTACACTCGTTACAGCACAAACTCTCAGCAGCAAACATACTGGCCAAAGTCATATGGAATAACACTGATATGAACCTGGAGCAGAATGTATCATTGCACAAGCGCCACCTGATCCACCGTTCAGTCACTCAAATAAACAACCTTTACAACCACCAGGACCGAAAGCTCCTTAACGCCGACTAATTGCAAGCGCAATTGGGATGTGGGCATTTCCTAACATGGCGGTCTATACTGCATGCTATACCCTGTTCTTGGAAGGAAGTGCTTGCTCAGGAAAAGCCCCCCAATGCAGTCATTCCATGCGTTTATGAGCAGACAAGCAAGTACGTGGGAACAGCGAATTGGGGATATAGTGCGCCCCTACCCTCGGCTCATGCTTCCCTACCGGACAAGGCTCAGACGAAATGGGAACTTAGGCTTGGACCTATGGAGCAAGAACAGTGGACAAAAGTATACAAAGTTCTGTACGACACAAAAGATGACTTCAAACTGAGGTGGCCGCAATTTAGAATCGTCCACAGGATCTTAGCGACGAACCGCATGTCATACCTCTATCGGATAAAAGAGACGAATCAGCGTCCGCGCTGCCAGAGCCATAGCGAGGATATACCACATGTGTTCTGGTTCTGCCCTGGGTCGCTAACTTTCTGGACTGACTTGAGCACGCGTTTGGGACTCCACAGACATTCACTACATGTAACGTTATCACTAGCCTTTACAATCCTGTTGATTCGGTCGGAACACTTACTGAGTCCGCTATTTGACTGAGTTTGCTATTGGGCAAGCAGTATATATGGCAGTGTCGCAATGCATCGTGTGAGCCATATAGCCGAGGTTTCTTTGGGTTTATTCAAAGGTACTCTGATTTAGACAGACATGTGGCTGTGAGCACCAACACAATCTACACTTACGCGGTCGGTGATCTTGAAGAGACTGGCTGTGTTCTTACCTGGTCGAGCAGCACGTTAGCGAAGGGGCACTTACATCGCGTGGATGAGGCAGTTAGCGATAAACTACCGTCAGTACCGGGCGCATTGCCATTGGTGTTCGATCGCGCACGCGCACGAGGAAGTGTGTTAGTGAGTGTGTATGTCATCGTTCCGCATGCCGTCACTACCGGTGTCGACTCCCCGTCGTGGCCATCTGGCTCGGCCCTGCAGAGGGAGCTGTGGGGCTGGGCTGCCGGCTGGGGGTGGCGACCGTCCCGCCCTGCCGCCTGGCGGAGTCTGCAGCCGGCCGGCTAGCGCGCTCGCGCGGCCGGCGGATGGCGTATGTTGCTCTGCGGTGGTTGTCACGGTGGCTCACGGTGCGGCGCCCGCGGCAGGAGGTGACGTTGTCGCGGCCCAGAACGGTGCGTGTGTGTGTGTGTCGTTGTGTGGTTGTTCGACTTAAAAACAAGTAGAAATGTAAACGTTAAGATGCTCACGAATTAACAAAATGTGATGAAGCTAAGAAAAAGAAGCGGATGGGTAGATGCCGGCGATAACGTGCCCTAAAACCAAGGACTGTTAGGCTATAACCTAATGGCAAGTGTCACTAACCCACCGATAAGTGTTTGGTTGCGGCCAGTGACTGCTTTGCTTTCCCTTGACGAAGAAACATACGACGAAGTTTCTGCACAACTGTGGTACTAATTAATAAATGGTTTGAATGGGATGTTTCATCATTGAGGACATTGAAACAAGGATCAGGTATGATGAAGAACAAATTCACTTTAAACTATGGATGTGCTTTTTAAGGGGAAAAGACTGCTCTGATTAAGTGGAAAAGACCGCTCCAGACAACAAAATCCTCTGTCAAGTAAACTACCCCCTTAATATGTTAGAGTTTTATTACGTCATCGTACCCTGCACAACATGGATTGAGAGCCAATTGGCGGCCGTTACATTTGTAAATCGCGCTCACGAACGCCAGATATGAACGCCTGAACATTTATATTTGTCTTGGCCTTGATCACTACATGGCTTATAGAATGGCAGGATTTGAATGACGTTATCATGGTATGAATGCGAAGGTGACTTTGAAATACTCCCCGATATACCTTTTACAATTTTCTCGGGCGTGTAGCTCAGAAACAGGAGAGGCTAAGGTGTTAACAAGGGGAGGATTGTGAACAGCACCGAAAGGTCTTCGAGATAGCTATTTCAGTTTAAAACCCCACTTAAATGTGGAGCACTCCTTTTGAGATCCTGCCACACTTGGTCTCGTTTTTCTCCCTTGTTTCGATCTGTCAGGCTGTGTCTCACCATGATCGCTTCAGTCGCCTTTTCGAGGTCGATTATCAGTGTCGGTCTCGTTCCGTCAGGTCATGACACGCTGGGGATGACACGCATGACACGCCGTCAGGTCATGACACGCTGGGGCGCGAATGCAGGAGCCAGACGCTGCGGGGGAAACACTTCCGTAATGAGTTTAAGTGTGGTGTTAGCGACCCACTAGACTCACTATTTTGTATTGCAGTCGAGATTCCAGCCCAGTCGTCGTGACTGATCACAAGACTTTTTAGAATTCGGACGGCATTGGCTCACCGCTGGCAAAAATACAGATACCAGGTAAAGCGGAAGGAATTTGTGCTACAATTGAGCTATATGTAATTCGATGTTTTTCGGAACCAAGTGCTCTCAACTGAATTGAATTTTAAGAGAACGCCGCGTGGTAAATGCGACATTGCAACTTCTTGCCTCTTACATGCACCAGCAGCTTTAAGAACATGCATATGGGCTTTAACTGCATCGGCATGCCTGCGTGCTATGCGATCGCATATCTGCGCTCCCGTACTAAACCCGTGCACTTGGTGTCGAAATTGTAAATCATCATTCTCATACGCCTTAGTGCTTCGTAAGACATGTGCTAGAATATGTGAGCCGACATTGCAAGCATATTTGCCTCATTCGAGAATCCTGTTCATCCATGGGTTCTTGCTTACTGAACACTCTTCATGCCATGCTCCTTGTGCCATGTACAGATATTGTTGACATCGCGGTGATCTGTCTTGTCGCGTCAGAATGACCGTCAAAAAATTGAGGAACCCAGGGCATGAACTTATCTGTCCCGAACAGCAGTGTGTATGCGTAAATGGCGCTTGATATAATAATATATAATGTTCTACGCGTATACTAGTTAACAATTATCTCTTGTCCTCAGGATTCAAGAAACGTTAACCTCTAAATCTCAGGATTCAGAAGTTATTATCTTCTACTACTCGTGTATTATCTTCTGTTAATAAGGGCATGTTGTCGAAATGTCAAGGCACCATCTGCATTCTTTTGTTTTTTCTTTTATGAATAAGGCTATTACTACTGTCTTTTCTTGAGTAGAAGTGCTGAAGAGTATAAGCTGTGAATAATGGCCTGTAGAGCATAGCACAGATGTCGTATATGTGCATTGGCAGGAGATGTGATATCGCTGATGAGAAAAGACCAGACGGTTCTGCGGAGATACATCAACGTATGTAAGTTTTTGAAGTATAAGCTTTGCCCTGAGCTCTGATATCGCACATTACTTCCCGCAGTACGATAAATGTCGTGTATAAGCAAAGACTGTAAGTCATTTCTGTGGACGTAACGACGGGGTATCTGTTTGCAGCTTAAGTTTTGTTGTGTACCACTCATGTCGTGTATGGGTTTCTGCAGTGGAAGTACCGTCGCGCATAAGTTAAGACTGTGAATGTCTGTCGTAGAAGTAATGTCGGGTATATGCTTTATCAGTATGCTACACCGTGTATGAGTTTTCGCAGGAACATCAGTGTGATGCATGAGTGAATACTACATCAGTTTTTGCAGTAGAGCAACGACGAATATATGTTTTTGAAGCATACGTTTTGTCGAGTGGCACTCGTGGCATGCATGCAATAGAAGCAATGTCGTTTATAAATGTCAGTCTATTTTGGCCTTTCGTGACATGAACCTTGCGGGTAAACAGAAATGGTCTGAATGAACCCCTACCGTCTTAACGCTTATTTCAGTGCCTTCAATATCCGTCTTGACGTGTTGACATAGATTTTAACTGTGGCTATCAGAACGACCACTTTTTACTTTCGTGAACTCTGGTGATTTCACATCTGACCTAAGGTCACAAAGTTGATAGGCATTTTCCATGGTTTGGCAAAATCTTCACAACGGTACCTTTTTTCTCATACGACATCTGGAAGTTTGAGATTCCAAGGGCGAGGTCAACTTCCCCGGCCGGGAGCGCTTGTCCCAGACCCCCGGCCGGGCGCAGGTTAAAGCAGCAAGGTACCGTGCGTTCTTGGCTGACAGGCGGATTCCTTGGTCATACCACCGCAGGGACGCTACCGGGAGGGGGGAGTGGACATGCCCCCCCCCCCCCCCAAGTCGAGGTGTTTGCTCTAGGCATGGATTCAAATCAAGTACAGCATTAAACTATGCGCCGATGGCCACCTACGCTTTTATTCCCTCAAGCGGCCGACTGAAAGGGCAATCGCGCGTACGAACTCTTTCAAGCGAACGTGCAAATTGAACAGTCTTGATTGGTGTGGTTTGATATTAGCTGGAGTAGTGACCATCTAAAATAGCCAGTTCCTCAGGTTCTTGGAAACAAATTCTGGACACCCCTGACTTCCAAGCACACAGCGTGTTCATACGCTAAGTCCAGCTTTAGGACTCGCATTCTTTCCCGCGTAGCAGGTTTCCCTTGTCATAAAAACAGCTTGATGCAGAAGCTAGGTCACTGAAATCACCCTAGGTAGCGTAACGAACACATCAGGACGACGCACTTGCACATAAAACACCGTTTTGGCTCGGAAATGACGCACTGCGACGTATGCTGCCGACGTGTTGGTATTCTCTCCATGCAGCTCCTTCTGTCTCCACCATCCCATAATGCTTGCGTTTGTCAGGTTGTGACGCATTCACTGTAAAGGAAATGAAGTTGCTGAGCCTCTGCAACAACCGCCGGACAGTCGCTCTTCCGCCCCATAAAAAGCCCCAGTCAAAGCACACGAGTAAATTTTCGCGAGGCTTGAATGTCGTTTTTCACCTTACTATTGGATGCGATCTCAGCTCGCTAAATTGCGCGCTGCTGCTAGTTCGACAGATAATGTGCTAAGAGAGCACTGGAGGAGCTGTATCACGACATTGGCAGAGGCATTCAGCTCCCTGTGACTAGCTGCATCCCCTCACCCTACCGCAAGAATCGCCGAACTAAATTTTTCTCAGTCAAACTACAATCGATAGCCCTGGGTTTCACGACCCGACAGACGTCTCTTGAGCTCGCCACAGGGTCACGAATGACGTCAAAATTCACGTGGCAATGCATCGATGACTTTGCTCTGATCTGCTATGCCACGTAAACTGCGACTTTCGGGGCAAAAAGTGGTAAATGCACGTACTAATTTGCTGACTGGGTGGGATACAGAAGTTGAGTTTGTTGGAAGGAGCCGACGTCGGATCACTGATCCGACGTCGTGATCACTGATCCGAGTAGAATTACGCATTTTTGCGATAAATAAATTGCCCAGGATATGATATATCTACATGGCATTGGCATGTGTCATCCTGCCAAACCTTAGATCAAGGTCGAGCCAAATCTTGAGTTCAATCAAAGAAAAAGCACTTCCGGGAAAAGGGTATCAAAGTCTGTGGCTGTGGGACGCCGACAGCGAAGACGCCGGTGGCTTAACAAGGCAGTTATGATCTAGTAATTACAGCCTACGATAACCTAACGTGCTAGGTCGTCCGTCGCCTTCCGTCCTCGACCCACCTACCATGTATGAAAGCCTCTAGATAGCGTACAAAACGATATACCTGTGGTTACGTATTCCATAAAAATAACAACATCACGGGTGGAGGTGATACCCCCCTACCCCTTACCCCTTTATCGCTTTAGAGTCGGTGCACACAAATTAACCGTTTCAGCTATATCAAAGTTGAGTGCAACTTTGACGTTTGCGATTGAAAAAACTGCCGACAAAGGTCTAGTAATTGGAGCTTCTTATCATATAGTCTGGCGCACAACAAATAAATAAATCGCGTTTCCAAGGCAATGGTGTGTCGCATGGTTGTGGGGTGTGGATTATGAATGCACACTACAGGTATATGTCGCCTCTGGTCTGTCCGATGCTGTTCTAATGGATTGATGAATGTGCTGACGGGATGTTAGAAGGCAGCGTGCGTAGACTTCTTTTGGGATTAACACATCTTTGCATCGACATGATTCACGCTGTTTTAAAACGTTTGAAATGATCTGGAAAGTAATGTTCGAAGCACTATTTTTCGGTGGTTGCTTCCTGTGAGTTTGCATTTTGGAAGTGGAAATCCTGCATTGTCACTCAGATCTTCCACACGCTAGAACAGACCGTCAACGCGTCGAGATATGTTAACACCAATTTATGAAGTTGCTTCATTTTTTCATTCACTCGGTAAGTGAAACGCGTTACGGCAGGGCCTTTTTAAGGATTTTGCAGTATAGGGGGGGGGGGGGAAGGGACATCCTAATGGCATGATTGCCACCAAATATGGATTATAATAACCTACCACGAATTCCGATTTCTCCTCGGATTCAGACCACTCCAATCTTGCGTTTATATGATAAAGCATTTGGCGAACTGCTTTAATAATTGCGGGTGCATATCATACACCATACGTGAACTGAACTGATAAATGGCGTCACGAAACGGAGCTGGAATGGGATAGCTGTGAATGTGTGTGGGGGAGGGAGAGGTATCTGGTCAGTGAGAACAATTCGGCCGAGCGTGGAATCATTTTCCCCTCATTTAACGTGCTAAAAAGAACCTGGACTGCGGTCACAACCCTCGCGTTCCCAGTGTGGGATAGATTCAATACACACTTAACCTTCGGGGTTGCAGTAGGTGCCGTCTTCTGGATATATATTGTTGAGAAGTTCCTCAAGCGTTTTGTCAAGTACCATGCAAGTGTAAGCGGACGATGTTAATCCGGTGTGCCGTGTGGTGACCAGAGCCATGTCAGCCCAGGAGCGAAGCATACCTTCATAACGATCACGTATGAACATGCACTATGGATGCCACCGCAGGGGCGAACAATGTTAATCCGGTGTGCCGTGTGGTAACCAGAGCCATGTCAGCCCAGGAGCGAAGTATACCTTCATAACGATCACGTATGAACATGCACTATGGATGCCACCGCAGGGGCGAGCAGAGGGGCAAGAATACAATTCATTCCCACTCTAATTCTTGGCCATTTTTCCCAAACTCATGCTATTGTGCACACTCGTGGGCTGCCAAAATGCATGTCAAGGTTATGCTCAGAGGTGTTTATGCTCAGGTCGCGTACCTGAGCATGAAAGTGCTGGATAATCAGAAGGCACAATTCTGGATGTTTTAGTTGGCGTATATTCATAAGGATGTGATACATGCAGTATTTGATAACAGTGCACGTACCTTCGATGCCCATCTCCCTGAATACGATACCGCTCAGGAGGCCCCGCTGTCAGGAGGTCCCAATGCGTTCAGGAGGCCCTTAAAAATCCTGCCCCAAGCTGAAAATTCGTGGCGCCGACAAGAACGACGCGGTTTTGCCGGGTCAGTCGCTGAGGAGCCCCTTAAAAGATAGGGGAGGGGACAAACGTGACCACGCTTCTACCTAGTTTTCTTTAATACGCTGTTATAGTGCCAACTGTTAAATGCGGTACTTCTCCCAGTTTTTTGCCTATACTCGTTGGGACAGTTGCACCCAGTCCCCTCCCAGTCTCCTCGCTGACTCCATGTCGCATCAAACAGCAGCGGCCAGTGACATCAAGCCTCGCGTCATAGGACGCTGAGCGTTGCTGGGCTTAAATGTACTTTTGCGCTGTTCTTGTAGGGAAAATATGAAAATCAACTCAACCAATTAAAGTGGCTCGCCCCGGACTAACCCAGAGATACTAGGCCTACATCTCACCGACCCCAGTTTTGGTCCTCGACAACGACAGCCGTGCTTCCGATGTGGTGACACAAACCCTCCAGAGGTTGTTGCCGGTTTCGGAATGAAACTTCCTGCAGCTGCCAGAGTGGGGGACAAAAGTCCAGGGTGTGCCGGCAGCGCTCAGAATAATTGAGTGGTTTGACGCAAGGCCTGATTATAGACGGGGGAAGGAAACCAACTGAAGAGCCTGGCCGCAAGCTCGGTGTGATATTGGCAGAAATTCAAGAAGCCATATAGACCATGAGAATGTCGTGCAGCTTGCCGCTAATGAGGTAGGTGCGTACCCCAGCAAAAGGATCAAAGTTAGAATTTTAGTGACAGTGCTAACAAACGGCAGAGAAATTGGAACTCAGGTGGAAACAGGGTCAGATATGCCGCAGAACAAAGAAAGCAGCACCAGTCCTCCGCCGCATATTCAGCACTCATGGTTTTCCCTTAAGTTTGATCACTGAAAATGAGATACCATTCACTTCTGCAGAGTTTTGAATGCATAATGAAACGATGGGGAATCCTGCACACGTTAACACTTCTTTATCGCCACCTCCAAATGACGTAGTAAAAAATTTGGTACATAATCTAAAGAACTAGTTGAATAAATCTCAGTATGGAGACGTTGAGGAAAATGGGGCTCAATTTCTAGCTTCAGGGAAAAATGCTCCCCATCCCACCACCGTGCACGCGCCAAGTAAAGTTTTTTTTTCTGAAGCGAACTTGGAGAGCAAAGCCGAGCCCCGTGAAGCCAAACTTCAGGAAAACAATGATCGAGAGAACAATACAGATGTTGGCCCCAGCGTTTCCACCAAGTGGAAGTCCTTTGCGGCCCGCGTGGAGTACAAAAATCGTCTGCGTATTTTTGTTATATTTTTGGCAGGAAATCCGTCTTTCCATGGAAAAGTGGGAGAGGTAGCGAGATGTGTATGGGACAGAAAGTAACTATATGAGTAGAAGTACTTTGCGGTTCGTGTGGAGTGCAAAAATCGTTTTGTGCATGCTTGTTAATTTTTTTGCCCCACATCCGTCTTTCCATGGCCATGTATACCAGGTACGATCATTCAGCAACCTGGCCGCTAAGACGCGTAATCCCGCGACGTCATTGTTTGCCCATAATGTTGGCATTGGAGCTACGTCGCGAGGTACGCAGGAGCCACCTGACTAGACGCGAGTTAATGCCGTCAGTGAAATAAGAATCCGCTGAGGAAATGCCAGGGGGCTGTGTCTTTCGCTAAGCCGCCTATGACAGCCAAACTAATGACTAAGTGGATTGCGTCAAATATACAAATATGAGACTTATATTACTCACTCACATAGTGGAAGCACCGCATAACACTGCGTTGACCAAGGATGACCTGATGTGTTAGGCCATAGAAGGTGGCGCCTTTGCTGCTTGACGTGTGGTAGGCAAAATCTTGAATTTATGTGGACACATTTATCATGGCATTTTAATAGCATATTAAGAGCATGGTGAAAATTTAATTGACCTATGGCGACCTAACATGAGGTTAGAAAGACTCAACTTAGAAGACTCAACTCAAAGACTCAACTGATAAAGATGTCATGCAATGCAATGCGTTAAAGCCACAGACAATAAGGGGTAACCGCATAATAACAACAAGAGCATGGATAAGAATCGAAAGCTGGTACCTAGAATAGAGCTAATGCGACGTTTTGGTTCGATTGGACATGACAGAGTATGGATGTCGACCAAACTTTGACAAGACGAGAAATTTATCACGACACACATTCACTGCACAAGAAAACGAAGTCGTGAAATACGCATAATATCACATGCTATTTCTTTTGAGGCAATATGCTCAGTTTTTTTTTTTTTTGGTGCTTTCGTCACAACGTTGAATGCCACAGAAACGACTCGCACGACTCATTTTCCATCGCTTCAAGTAAAAGTCAGTAAACGCAAATGCTTCAAAAAGGTGATCATGCTCTCATGCTGCTGTAGCTGCTACAAATGCATTATATTCTAGGTCATCCCGGAACATGCTAGGCTAGAATAAATACTGTTATTGTGTCATGGTGCAACCAACATTGCATATAATAATTATGAGTTGAACTGAAATGAACATGCTCATTAAACACATATATTAAAAAGGGCGCATATCTGGAAACTATGCTCATTGTAGTGAAGGGTGTATTCAGGCTAACTTTGGAATCCATTCCACAGCTGCATACCTGCCAGAATTTCTTGCAAGGCGGGAAGTCCGGCTCGTCCTCGCACGGTACAGCTCCCGTATGATTAACTGCGAAAGAGAGCGTGTGATCGGAGGAAGAATATCCTCTAACATTCTGATGATATTTCACCGAAAACCAAATGCTGTGTTTCAAGCTGCATATCTTTTTCCTGACTCAAGTCGGTGGCCAATAATGGTTGATTGCGGCAGACGACGCACAGCTAACAGATGACTTAACAGACTACGGTGTTCCGACCTCGAACGTGATTTTAGGCTTCCTACAGCCAGGTCTAACACACCACCGAATATTCGGGATCGAGTTTTTTTCTGTAAGAGCAAACCGGTCAGTACTACCCGGCATGAACATCATTTATTTACTATCAAACACAATGTCCTATATTGATGTGACAATCCCGTAACTTCATAGAGGTACAAGAATTTTGATTTTCAAATGGCACTTATTTACATTATGCCCTTTCAGGTGCTTCGATATCCTCTTAACTATTCGCCAGGATAAAAAAAAAATTAGCATTGCTATGTCAATACAATGTCAAGTACAAAACTGGACGCACGTAGATGCGTGTCCTTTTATAAGAAAACATGCATACCCCAGAAGCGTAATTAATTTCTCGATTTTGTGATATCCGTATCACAAGTACGTCGGTGAAGAAATGTGCAGAATGTATTAAAACAACCGAATTACAATCAGTCAGCCGTAATTAAATCAAAATAAAAAATTCATTATTTGATCAAGGTTGACATTGAAATACGGTCGCATCTTGCAATCTAGGCATTGCATCCCAAAATTCCATGAGAGAGATCTAAGCCTCGTCCACACATGTCGTTGCAACGAACAATTACTCTTTACAACCTACGATCTGTTTTTGTTTCCAAAATCATTTAAACGGTTAGAATCTGGACGCTTTACTTACACTTTGGTTCGCAGTTCTTCTTTTCGCATCCCCAATCGTTCGTTACACAGAAGCACTTGTTGCAGCCAGCCACTCCCAGCTCACCAGAGCGACACTTCGTCGTCACGACTGCAACACGTCAGCCAGTTTATATGTTTCTCTGGCAGCTGAAGCTAGACGGTCGCTCGAATTGCAGTTTGGGGCGAAACATGCAGGATGCATAGTTCCCACCGATAGCAAATAATACAACTGGGAAGCACTGCTATTGGCGGCGAGCTGTTCATTTCTGTGCAGCCGTTTTGCAACATGTTATTCCGCTTTACTGAAACAGTCAGATCAGCCGGTCCGTTCTCTAGCAGTATTCTAATCATCAACTTCGCGAGCATTGTACTGCCTCTTGTGTGTGAGGGGAAGGGGACAGGGGTGACCACAACTGTTTTTTCCGGTTGCAGTAACAATAGCATTAACAGTGGGATAACAGATCAGCAATGGTTGTGTACTTACCGCGACATTTCTTATCTCCGCAGTACGGCTTATCGATGTCTTTGCAGTCGCCATCAGTTTTACATTTAGTAGGCTTTACATCTGCCGAGAATGACAGGACAATAACATGGCGTTGTAACGATATCGAGACCCCTGCGTAGCATTCCTTAGACAAGACTCCATACTAGAAAACCATATTGCGATAAGGATATACACCGAAAAGATGTTTGGCGCTTGCATTAGGGTTTGCTAATCGGGCACGGCGCCACATGTTGGTTACACGTTTGATCGTGAACACAGTAAACCAACCCAATTCGTCGCTGCTTTTCATGACAACCATCATGACAAGCAACAAGCAACAGTATGGTAAAGGGGACACCAGAGTGTGGATCGTCTGATTCCTGACCTGCTGGACCAGCTGTTGTGACGTGGCTGAGTATGCCGGCCACGATGCAGATGAGGATGATTTTGGAGAACATTCCCGTCGACTGATGACTGGTCGTGTGGGCGACGCGGCCCCGGCTTCATGCTTATATGGCAGAGGGCACGACCTCACCACAAAGCGTGATGGACCACGGAGGCCCACCTGACAGCGCAGTTTCACTGCGCCAACACTGGCCATAACATGTCAATCGGCATACCGATGATTCACTTAAAACTGCATTCGAATTGGTTGCTGCAGGTGACCTCGGGGTTTGAATACTTTCTAAGCAGAGCGCGTTGCGCGTACCCTGAACCCACCATCCAAGTTGTGCTTCCCAGTCCAACGAACAACGTTTCGTTCGCCACTTCGCCAGATGGACTGCGAAGGGCTTTAGCGTCCCGCAGCGCCACGACACGGCCGCCCCATTCTGTGTTAGCCTCCATTAACCTGTTGCTAGCTGATCAGGCCATGTCAGTCGGGTCCAGCAATGCACCCGCTCTGTGACTTGTATTCAGTGATGGTGAATGACAAGTCCAGCGTATTTTCCTGGACCATGGAGGCAACATTATGTGGTACGCAGGCGAAGAAACTTCTCGGAATATGGGGATGCCAAAACCGATTTGGACGCTAAATATTTCCATTCATTGCTATGGGATTAATAATCAGCATCTTTGAAGGACAGGATGGCATGGCACCTATCCCCCCCCCCCCCCACACTCGTTCTTACGCATATGGTTTGCCTTCTAACCCATTTCTGGCACGGCTCTCCGTTAGAAGAGGCTGCCACCCGCTTGCAGATAACGCGGATGATAAATGTCGGGCTGGCTATCGAAGCTTGTTTTTGTCCGGGTCATCGATTGGTTGCACAGATTGGTGCGACAGATGGCAGGTCCCTATCTTTTACTTAGGCCGCAACGCACAACTAGACACTTACACTGCAGTCGTCTTTTAGCAAAACCCCTCTCCGACGAGACTATTGACTGAGTTTTTTCTCCGTGCATTCAAATAGCTCACTCGAGTCCCATCCGGCCACACAGATTCGCTCTGCTTCTCCTCGCTCATCGTCTGATCCTGAATCACCAAAGTGCCACACCTTCCCGGAGCGAAAACCGGAAAAGGCTAAAGGTAAGGCTCGCAGTGGAGGTCTCCCACGATGGCTGCAGTCGTGCTCTTCTAACCACTTCTCACAGGAATCCCATAGCCAGACATTGTCATTGATAGTCAAAAGTACTCTGATCCCAACCAAACGACAAAACTGTGTCTCAACTTGCGCAAAACCTGCGCAAGCTTTGACTAGCGATGCAATGTGTTATCATTACCATTGTCATATCAGGTGATGAGTACCTATGGAGAAGTAAAATCACTGCGGAATGGAAGGCGCTTGCGTCTGAAAATGAAGCATGCACCTGACTGAAGAGTCCCGCAGTGACCTCTGTTGAGGGCTTTACTGCAGCTAAAGGGCATCACGCGCGTCGTTTTTAGAACGGAGTCGAGCACAATTCTGAGAACTTGGCGTAGTCGTTGACCGCCGCGTTTGACGCATTTGTCCGCGTGTGAGTCAAACGCATAAGTGGATGCGCAAATGTTGATGCTCATGCTTCTACGGAAACGGTGGAGGCACAGATGGTTTCAGAATTAAAGTAGAAACGTCATATTCAGGTTTATTCTATCCATGCGTCACCATAGGAAGAATGTTAAATTTGAAGGACAAGTAGCTGGAGATCACCGTATCTGGTAGCGGTTAAGCTCATACCCCTTTCGTGGCACTTTAACATGACTTACCGTACTTTTTGTTGCGTACGAAGAACTGATTAAGGGCCTGCTGTGCCCTTCGCCGACGCGAATTATGTTCCAGAAATTCTTCCACTGGTATCAAAATAGCTTTCACAAGGAGCCCTTGCATGCCTTGGCAGAAGATCGAGATAGACGAACAGGAATGGCAAAGCCGCGAGTGTATAACGGTGGATGACAAGCAGTGCAGGGCCTGATCTGGCTTCTGAAAGCTTCAAGGCCATACTGAAAATGTCCAAGCTGTAACGTATCGAAATTCTTTTTAAAAAGTGTACTAAATATTCGTCATTACGAGCAACACGATAGATTCTTTAATGTAGTCAGTAGTGATAATTACTAGTTGAATATGACAAACAAGATTGAGACAGGCGTGAGTTCCTGTAGGCTTGATTGGTAGAGTAATGTCTGTGGCTTTCAATGGTACGGATATGATTTCCAGGCAAAATCATGTCATTCAGATGAGCCAACACGGCTATACGGGAACGGAGTAAAACGATGCTGATATTTAAATGTGGAAAATATGTCACACTCGCTGTACGCATGAGCCTCATGTTCCAATTTTTAAAGGATTTTGTGCGTGTTCAGTAAAATATCACCTTCGACTCCACACGCTCTCAAATATTGAAAACGAAACAGAGTCAAGATTTTCCGGTGCCAAACAAATCTCCCCAATCGAACAAAATGCAGAACAGCTTCAATTCCATATTTCTAGACCGTATTTATGCAATGCCGTATTTTTCAGCGTAATAGAGCGTTGTAGGCCTTTGGAATCTCGTGTGCAGGCATTCCCCATGATATATTTACCTGGAAATAGCATCGCTTTCAGCGACCTTTTTAACATTCATCACGAATATTCGATGTTGCCTCGCCTTAATGAATACCTCGCCTCAACTCTGCAGTAAAACGTCTTGCACTGGTGGCCCGCATTGATCGATAGCTGTATTTTAATGTTAAGCAGCTCAAAGTAATTTGTTTAATATATTTTTATTCATGCGCCTAATGATGTTGATGAAGTCATCACCCAGCTCAAGGCAAAGATGAATCCGGCTGCTACAGTTTATCAGTTCATCACTCAACCATGTAGGAAGCTGGTTCTAATTCAACAATTGTGTTTCTATATTATTCCTTTTGCTATGTCACCCGCCCTGATCGCGTGCCGCGGTACTCCGTATAGTTTGCGACATATGCCGCTTATAGTTGTGTGCGATTAACACTGTTTATGGACAAACGTAACTTTGTGCCCACTGGTCTCTCTCTCCTCTCCTCTCTCTCTCTCCTCCTCTCTCTCTCTCTCTCCTTCTCTCTCTCTCTCGCTCTCTCTCTCAATCCTCTCTCTCTTCTCTCTCTCTCTCTCTCTCTCTCTCTCTTCTCTCTATCTCTTCTCTCTCTCTCTCTCTCTTCTCTCTCTCTCTCTTCTCTTCTCTCTCTCTATCTCTCTCTTCTCTCTCGCTCTCTCTCTCTCTCTTCTCTCTCTTCTCTCTCCTTCTCTCTCTCTCTCTCTCCTCTCTCTCTCTCTCTTCTCTCTCTCTCTCTCTCTCTCTCTCTCTCTCCTCTTCTCTCTCTCTCTATCTCTCTCTCTCTCTCTCTCTCCTCTCCTATCTCTCTCTCACTCGCTCTCTCTCTCTCTCTCTATCTCTCTCTCATGCCGAATTGTGCAGTGTTTGCCATATCCCTCAGCTCGCCGTCGCTATTCGTCCATTGCGCGGGGTCACGCCCCCTGCCCCTCCCCTTCCCCGCCTCCTGCACTTGACGTGTGACGGGTGACCCCTGGCGGCTGGGGTCAGCTGTATGTCAGCTGGCGAGCTCGTGTCACCTGCGGTATGTTTGCCACGTCCGCACCCGGGGCGAGGCGAAGTGTACATTCGGCCGGCCATAGCCCGCACATTGAGAACGGCGGTGTGCCTCCGGGCAAGTGAACGTCAAACCGTCACTGCTTGAACGTCATTACGCTGAGTGGGCTGCGCATTCTGAAATTCGTAAGCCAGCTTTGACAACCGAACAAGGCTCAGCGATGCTTGCTTCCTCACAATCGCCAAATCAGGCGCAGTTATTCTGGCCTGTGCCGCGCCGCGTGTCCGTCGGAGGCGGCAGAAGATGCCCGCCAGCACACAAACATCGTTACTAAGGCTGCCCAGGCACAATGGTGCTGTCAGTGCCGGCATCGCCCTGGCAGCGCAGACCATCCGGCCGCCGGCCGCTCCTCCGCTGGACGGAGCGGCGTCGCTCCACCTCGCGGTTCGCCATCGCCGCCGTCCCGTCTTTGAGCTGGGGTCACCGGCACAGCTCTTATGATCAGCTGGTCTGCTGGCAGCCATCGCTGCCGTCCCGTCTTTGTTCTGGGGTCACCGGCACAGCTCTCATGATCAGCCGGTCTGCTGGCAGCCATCGCTCCCTTTCCGTCTTTGTCCTGGGGTCACCGGCGCAGCTCTCATGATCAGCCGGTCTGCTGGCAGCCATCGCTGCCATCCAGTCAGCTGAGCTGCTGTCTTATTTGAAGGGGTGAGGCGAGGCATTAGTATAAAAGGAAAAGCTTCACATTTGAAGATATTGAAGCCAGCATCAGATATGATGAAACACGCTCACTTATAATTGTTAGTATACTTTGAAGAGAAAAAGACTGTTCTAAACAACACAGTTTCTCTGTTTAGTACATATGCTTCTCAATGCGTCATTTTTATCACGTGAGTGTACCTTGCACAACATTGATTGAGAGCTTTCTGACGGACGCTTTATCTGGAAACCGTGCTCACGAACGCCAGATATGAACGAGTCGACAACAGCATTTTGCTTAAACTTGATCGCCGCATGACTAACGGAATGGCAGAATTTAAATGATTTCATTATTGTGTATGGATACCTGAGTTAGCTTAAAATAGTCTTCCCGAAAAAGCGCACATCTTCGCGTACGTACAGTCCAGAAACTGGAGGGATTTAGGTCTTAAGAAGGGCACGGCCGTGAGCTGCTCCGAATGAATGATGAAATTAAAGATAGCTTTTTCAGTCCAAAACCCCATGCAAACGTGGAACACTCCCTTTGAAGATGGCATACTGGTTCAAGACTATCGCTCTCGTCTAGTGCGTTAGCACGCGCACTGTGGGTGCTCTACGTCGGCCGACTCAAAGCCGTTGCGTACGACTACACACTAGACGGGTGCGAAAGTCCGAACAATGGCGCATTTGCGAGCAGCACTGCCAGACGCAGCAGGAGGCGCCAGTAAGGCGATCGTCTTCGCCGCCGCTGCCCGGGTAGGCTGTACCGTGATAACCTCGTCAGTTGCCCCGTCCTCGGGCAGACTGATGTATTCTGTAGAGGCTG